GTTCATTTCTAGTATATAGAAATATAGCTGGTTTCTGTATATGTATCCTATATTCACAAGCCTTGCTAAACTCACATATTTGTCCTAGAGGCTTTCCTTTATTTTATTTTATTTTATTTTTTTAGGTTTTTGCTACTGGGCATGTGCGCTCGCCAGAGAGACAGCGAGAGAAAGTGAGAAATGACACCCTCCTAGAGGTTTTCCTTTATTTTATTATTTTTTTTTTAGGTTTTTGCTACTGGGCATGTGCGCTCGCCAGAGAGACAGCGAGAGAAAGTGAGAAATGACACCCACGCCCAGGGTGGGGTGGGGGGGAGGCCATCCCACAATCCCTTCTTCTCGATTCTCCTCTTGGGATTTTGGCATCTATGAACATGCACCAGGTGTGAGTTTTAAGGCACCATGTCCGGCATTCAAGCTAACATCAGCCATGTGGGAGCCCAGTGCCTTAATCACTATACCACCTGCTAGTCCCAGTCCTAGTAGCTTTTTCATAGATTTCATAGAATTTTCTACATAGATGATGTGTCTTCTGCAAATAGAGACAGTTTTATTTCTAATCCAGTCTGAATACTAGTTCTTTTTCTTGCCTCTGTACATCATCCACTGTTTATTGGCCAATCGTATTTTTCATAAGTGGTCTCTGTCCTCTACTCATTTTCCTAATGATATATTCTTCTACTTTTTAATAATTTCATAGTAGCTTTTTAAAAATTTGGTTTATTTATTTATTCACTTATTTTAATTTGGCATCTACTTTTTTATAATTTCATAGTAGCTTTTTAAAAATTTTATTTATTTATTTATTCACTTATTTTAATTTGGCCAGAGAGAAACACAGAGAGAGAGAGAGAGAGGGAAAGTGAGAAAGTAAGCCACCAGTTTGGAACTCAAACCATGGTCCAGCACTTTAACCACCACACCACCTGCTGGTCCCCCATAGTAGCTTTAAAAAATCTAATATCTTTTGGGACCAGCAGTTGGCATAATGGCTATGTTGCTGGACTCCCATGTAGTTGACTGCAGTTCAAGTCCCAGACCCAGTGGCTTAAACTCATGCTGGGTGTGAGGGTGTGAGTGCATGTGTGCCCAAGATCCCGAAAGGAGAATGGAGAAGAGATTGCAGCATGGCCATTTCCCTTGGGGAGCGATTTCTCACTTTCTGTCTCTCTGTCTCTCTCTGTCTTTCTGGCAAGTGCATGCGCCCTATAGGAAAAACCTCTCAAAAAAAAAAAAAAAAAGGAATTTAATTCTGGGTCCAGCAGTTGGCATAATGGCTATGTCTCTGGATTCCCATGTAGTTGACCATGGTTCGAGTCCTGGACCCAGTGGCTTAAACTCATGCTGGGTGTGTGTGCGTGGGTGCCCAAGACCCCAAGAGGAGAACGGAGGAGAAGGTATTGTAGCATGGCCATCCCCCCCAGAGGTGGTGATTTCTCGCTCTCTGTCTCTCTCCATCTTTCTGGCGATCACACGCACCCTATAGCAAAAACCTCTCAAAAAATAAAAATAAAAATAAAAAAACTAATATCTTTAAGTATAGCTATCATATACGTCTTTTGATATTTTCCCCAATTCATCTTTTGCCTTTTATCTTTGTTTAGGGCTTATATACATATCGGGTCATTGGAAAAGTCATGACGTATTTTTCTACGCAAAATGTGTCATGACTTTTCTGATAGCCTATATATTTATACTGTTTCTAAACTATTTGTTTAGAGCAGGCTTAAGTTCACAGAAAAATGGAACAGAAAGTACAAAGAGTTCCCACATACACATTCCCTGCCCTCCCTCATTCACAGCCTCCTTCCATCAACACCTCACACCAATTATACGTTTGTTACAGCCAATAACCCTCACCTAATTTGACAGATCATTATTACTCAAAGTTCATAGTTTACCTCAGGGTTCCCATCATGGGTTTAAACAAACTATAATAACATGTATCCTTCATTATAGTATCATACAGAGTAGTTTATGGCCATAACAATGCTTTTTTGCTGTACCTATTCCTATCCTTGTCCTCCCTAACCTGGAAACTACTCCTTTATACCACCTCCATAATTTTGCCTTTTCCAGGAAGTCATATCGTTGGAATCCTAAGTTTTGTTGCCTTCAGACTGACTTCTTTCACTTAGCAAAGTGCATTTAATTTCCTCTGTGTCTTTTCATGGCTTGCTAGCTCCTTTCTTTCTAGCACTAAATGCGATTCCACTGTCTGGATGTACCAGTTTGTTTGTTCACTCACCTGCTGAAGGACTTCTCAGTTTCTTCCAGATGTTGGCAATTATGAATAAAGTTGCTATAAACATCTGTATGCAGGTTTTTGTGTGACATAAGTTTTTGACTCATTTGAGTAAATGCTAAGGAGTTGATTTCTGGATCATATAAGAATATGTTTATATGGATTTATTTTTATGTGTGTGTGTGTGTGTGTGTGTGTGTTTAATTTGCCAGAGGAAATGTGTGCTCATCAGAGAAAAGCAAAGACAGAGAGGGAGAGGAATAGTCACACCTCAATCCCTTCTCTGCCATCTCTCCATTCTATTGGGATTCTGGAAATGCCCCCACACACCCAGGAATCTTTCAACCTGCGAGGGTTAAGATTCAACCATTGCTGGGACCAGCAGTTAGCATAATGGCTATCTCGCTGGACTCCCATGTAGTCCACCGCAGTTCACGTCCTGGACCCAGTGGCTTAACACTCACACTGGGCATGTGTGCATGCCCAAGATCCCGAGAGGAGAATGGAGGAGAAGGGATTGTGGCGTGGCCATAAGCCCCAGGATGTCTCTCTCTGTCTGGCGAGCACACGTGCCCTATAGCAAAAACCTCTAAAAAAAAAAAAAAGCTTCAACCATTGCTGTTGGCCATGTGGGATCTGATTCCTCAACCCCTAGGCCATGGAGATGGTCTGTTTTACTTTTTTTTTTTTTTTTGGGCGGGGGAGGTTTTTGCTATAGGGCACATGCACTCGCCAGAAAGACAGAGAGAGACAGAGAGATAGAAAGTGAAAAATCACCCCCCGGGGGGATGGCCACGCCGCAATCCCTTCTCCTTTGTTCTCCTCTGGGGATCTTGGACACACAGGCATATGCACCCAGCGTGAGTTTAAGCCACTGGGTCCAGGACTCGCACCACGGTGGACTACGTGGGAGTCCAGCAACATAGCCATTACACCATCTTCTTGTTCCTGTTTTTACATATTTTTAAAAGACCCATTAAAGCTTTTTTGTTTTTGTCATCAAATCTATTGACCCTTTCTTTCATAATGTTAGATTTTAGTGTTGATTAGAAAGGCTTTTCCTGTCCAAAATTTTATAGATCTTCACTTGTACCTCATTCTAACTCATTGGTTTTATTTTTACACTTCATTCCTTGTTTCAGTTTGACATGAGGCAGGTGTCTAATTTTATTTCCCCCTGACTTTCGTTTCATTTTCCTAGTTAATGGGAACTCAAAAAGCATTCCTGTTTTACAAATAAGAAAACTAAGGCAGAGACAACTGCCTGTGAGCCAAGCAGTGGGACAGTGGTAATACAACTAGATTCACATAGGAAAGATCCTGGGTTTGAGACTCAAGGCTTCCCTAAGCATGTGTGCATGTGTGCATGTGTGCACACATGCCCTTGACCTGGACTGGCTGAGACTAGGGGTGGATTGTGGTCTGGAGATGCTGTTGGAGTGCCTGTCTTGCTCTATCTCTCTCTCAAAAGAAGTACACTTTTAAAAGAGAGACAAAAGACCAGTCAGTTGCATAGTGGTTAAGGCAGCTGGATCCCACACGGCCAACTGTAGGTTCAAGTCCCCATGGCTTGAAAAATACTTACTGAGTTTTATCTTTCCTCAATATTTTACTTAATAGGTCTAGACAGAGACCAGGAATTTGATTTATTTTATTTATTAATTTATTTAAAAAATTTTACAGTGAAAAGCACCCCCTCCCATAGGGAATGGTCACACCACACTCCCTTCTCCATTTCTCCATCCTTTCTGGGTTTGGGGCACACACACAAGTACTGGGCATATTTTTCAAGCCTCTGGGTCCATGATGTGCAGCTGGCTACGTGGCATTCGGCTCATGTAACTACCAGGCTACAAGCTGGCCTGGAATCTGCATTTTTTTATTTTTATTTTTTTGAGAGGTTTTTGCTATAGGGTGCATGTGCTCGCCAGACAGACAGAGAGAGACATAGAGACAGAAAGTGAGAAATCACCCCCCAGGGGGGATGGCCACGCCACAATCCCTTCTCCTCTGTTCTCCTCTCGGGATCTTGGGCACGCACGCACACACGCCCGGCGTGAGTTTTAAGCCACTGGGTCCAGGACTCAAACTGCGGTGGACTACGTGGGAGTCCAGCAACATAGCCATTACGCTAACTGCTGGTCCCAGAATCTGCATTTTAAACAAGTATCTCAGATCATTTTTCTGCAAGTGGGCAGATCACAGTTGAGAAATGCTCTAAAACCATAAGCTAAGACACCCAAGTGAGGGCTGATTATTTCTCCCAATCTCAACTTAGGTAAGTACTCTTTTAACCTACAAAAAAGAGATAGCTAGGAGGAGACAATAATTTAGGTTGTAATAATGAAATAATGTAAACAGATAAAGGGCCTCCAGCTGACCCCAAATTAAGTGAAGGCAGTGCAAAGTAAGAGAAATATCTACCTAAATACGAGTAAAATACAGTGTAAATACAGTGTAAAAATGGGGTTAAAATATGAATTGATCTTGGTGCAAAAATATGAGTTTATTTTAATGAAATCCATGCATAGTTTTTTCATAATACGCATTTTCTATGAGCTTTTTGAAGACCCCCTCTTAAATTGGAGTCTCCTTTAAATGTTGTCAGTTATGCATGTGAGCCTAGGACTGTCTATTCACCAGTAAAATGTAATAATAGCCTGCCCAGGGGAAGGAAAAAAAACCTGCCTGTCAACTTTCTGAACTTCTCGTTCCATAGGCCTAGAATGAGTAACCCGTTCCAGGAGACTGGACGATGTCGGGAGACTCCTTCTTGCTTACTCAGACTTACCCGGAGCCTACGCCACCTGGCCAGAGGTGCCGCCCTGGGGACCAGGAGGCCCTCTACGGGACAGGTCTGCCCCTTTCCCCCCGGGGAGTCACCCTCTCCCCGCCCAGTCCCCCAGATGTCTTCGTCATCAATAATTCATTAAGAACCTCCTCTCCATTGGCTGATGCCTACTGGCAGAAGCCCAATGAGGAAGGACCTGAGAGAGGCCTTCTGAATAGTGAACAAGCTCCCGTGACGTCGAGGCCGGTGATTGGCTTGTCGGCTCGAGGCGGGGCGGGCTCGGGCGGCGGCGAGCGCTGTTGGGACGGCTCAGTGCTAGCCTGGACGGTGGCAGCCCGAGCAGGGTCTGAGCGCCGAGCGGCTGG